TTTTTTTTTTTTTTTTTTTTTTGTACGGGGGATCGAACTGAGGACCTTGCATTTGCGAGGCAGGCGGCAGCACCACTAGTGCTGCTTTTTCCACTGTACAATGTCCAGAATAAATGGGCCTCAAGTCTGAGGCCCTGCGCCTTCGGTAGTCTTGCTGTAGCAGTACCACAGCGTGTCTCCTGGAGTCAGAGAAGCTGTGAGTTGGAAGCATGCATGAAGCTTTAGTGAGGTGAGGTTACAAGGATAGACACAGAAACAAGACGTTCCAGCGGGTGATGTATAAGGGAGGAACATTAATAAAGCCCAGGCATAACTGGACAGTTATCAAAAAATAACATCATTTAGGGACCTAATCCAAGAGGAAGCAGCTTTTTAATTGCAAATGGTACAGCGGGCTCATTTAGGAACTCTTAAAACAACTGAAGCTAATGTGGTGGTACGTGCCTATAACCCAGCTACTCGGGAGGCTGTGACAGAATTTCAAGTTTGAGCTCAAAATAAAAAAGGCTGGGCGTGTAGCTCAGTGGTAGAGCCCTTGGATAGTATGGTGAGGCAGTTGGTTCAATCCTACTACTGGAAAGAGAAAAAAGAAATTGGCCAGGTGTGGTGACACATGGCAGGAAGATCTCCATAAGCTCAAGGCCAGCCTGGGCTCCATGGTGAGTTCAAGGCCAGCCTGGACTGCATGATGAGACTCCGTCTCAAAAAACAAAAGCACCACCAAAAAAGCCTGAATTCTCTCATGCTTAGTAACAATGCTCCGTTCTATATTTCTTCAGCAATGTTCTGAGCATTGCCATTGCCCTTTCAAGCTGGAGCTGCTCATTCCCTGGGAGGGTCTCAGCAGAAGGCCATTTATCCCAGGAGACTAACCCTTGCTTGTAGTAATCAGAAAAAAAAAAATAAGAACCCAGACCTGAGTGAAGGTCAGAAGTACACAATCTGACCTGTCTCATCTGCTTCAATAGAAGCAGAATCCTGGAAATCCACTCCAATCAATGTGCATGTTATGTTTCTATCATGCATCCACTCTCAAGATTTACTCCGTGGAAATTGGTTAATAGAATGCTGGGTTTCTGGACTTAAGATTAACATGATGAGACTTCTCTTCAAGAGGATGAAGCACTGATCTGGGCTGGATAGGGAGGGAGGAGGATTAGTGCCTGCTAAGCTGGAGTCCCAGCAGCTCTGGGTGGAGCGTGAGGACCTGCGCTGCCTGCTGTGATCAGCTGGCCTCACCTGTCATACATGTTCACATCCTCCTGAGATGAAGGCTGGCTGCTCAGATACTGACAGGATGCTGTGAGGATTAAGAATTTGGAAACTGACCTTTCTGGAAAAGTTCTGTGTACATTTAAGACTTACAGCTCCCTTGAACCTTAGGACATGTGGAAAATACATACCTGAGAAGAAAGCTACTTTTATTGCTAGAAATCTGACATGGGCTGTAGCCTCTTCCTTCTTTTAGGACAACAGAAATGAATAAATAAAGTGAAAGAGAAGGTCTTCATACAAAGCCAATTTGAGTTCAACGTTAATATTTAAATGGAAGAACTGGCCTGTCATTAAGCCATGCTTTCCTAGGATTCGGAGGGTTAGATGTTAGCTATTCCTGGGTTTTGTGCTCTGATTTTCCGTCAGTTTGCACAAAAGGAGAGCACTTTGGTTAACCTCAATCACTGATTCTGTGTGAAGCCAAAGTTAGAAACAAACTTCTAAACAGACTTAGAATTTTTCATACTCAAAGACTAAACATGAATCAAAATACTGATATGACCATAAATATCTTTATTAAATGTGAAAATACACGGGCATAAAAAATAGTACCCATATTTGTAGGCATGTCTGAGACCTATTTCAAATTTTGCATTCCTTTATTAAAACACTAAATTGAGATGGACTAAATTAGTCTTTTCTCATTCAAAACAAACCTTAGGGGGTAAGACTAATATTCAACTTTTCACACATCTTCAGTTTTCACCTCCCCTATGCTCTGCTTTCCTCTGCAGTAAATGTTTCATCCACAGATGAATGTACATGAAGCCACGCAGTGGCTAATTTTATGCTTAAATCATTCAACAAAGAGATCACCTGAAAAGATTATTCCCAACTCTCAGTATCATTTAAAAGTACAAAATAAATTCTGCCATTAACAGAACAGGAACAATCTGATCTACAGCAAGGACATTAGTTGACAAAGTAGCATTTACTTCTTCCTTTCTTTATAAACATGGAAAAGTCAACGACATTCAAGAAAGGTGTGTTAATTTCTCTAGGTTATCCTGATGGATACTCGGAAACATTCTGCAAGGCCCAGCACCAGTGTCAGGAGTCTGTAAGGCTGTCAGCTCTAACAGAGGCCTGACCTAGGAGCCAGTTTTAATTTGTGCCTCTTTCTTACACATTTTCTTTAATTTAGGGTAAACACCAAGTACAACTTTATGCCTTTAAACCTGAAATTTTTCATTATTTATTAGGAAGAAAAAAGGTGCCAATTTCAAATTGTGATCCTACTGGCCTTAAAACATGGTTACATCAGTAATTTTTTTTTTAATCATGGTAGGTTTTAAATCCTACTATCAAAACTCCCAACAACTTGTTTTCATACTGATACTGAAATATAGATTTACAACACTAAAGAGAAAAAAATTATAAAATTAAATGTTACTTCCAGTCACATTTAATTGTTAAAGTTGTTTTCAAGTTTTCATCCAATCATTCATGGTAAGAAAGCACATGCTTTCAGAACTGAGGAATGAATTAGGAACTTTACGGCTTAAAGCTGATGTGTTTAAACTTCCTGCTGTGGAAAGTGCAGTGACTCCTCTCCAGAAGCTCCCACAAGGGAAGGTGGGGATTGGGAATGATGGAATACAGCTAAGGCTAGGCCACCTCTCCTGATCCTATTTTTTCTCAGAAGAGCCACAAAGGTTACCTGGCACCTGCAGTCCCTAAAAATGGACTGGAATGTGGAAAATAGACTAACAAAAAAGGGAAAATGCCTTCTCAGTAATGTAGTTTTATAATGCATACATTAGACAAGTGGGAGGAATGACCGTTTATCCTTTTACATATTCAGGATTTTTCTCAGTTGCTGCTGAAGGAAAGCAGTTACCATCTTTCCCATGTGGGAGGGAGGACACCGGGAGACTTCCGGTGACCATCCAAGATGGAACTTAAAGGTCATTACGACCTTCATTAATCAGCTAAACAACCGAGTAGAGAATGTGTTCCCTGTAGTGTTGGCACTTAGCACCAAAGCTGCTTTCTCTTCACTGAAAAAGGCTGTAGAGCTCTCTGCACATTTCCATTAAGTTAACTTAATCCACACTAATTTTGTTACTAGTGAAGAAAAAACTGCCTGGGCAGCAAGCTGGGAGGCAGTGAGGCCTGGGACACCTCTCCCTTCCAGCCCTCAGCCAAGCCCATACTCCTCTGGCTCTTTGTTGGCAACTTTTCATCCTCTCCAAAGGGAAGGGCAGGTGTTCTCACTATGCAGAAATTTCCTTTTCAAAGTAGGTGGAGGCCATTACTATATTTCAAAGAGGTCACAGTAACATCTGCAGAAGGAACAGGATTTTAAAATACACATTGCTGACCATAATTAGTGAGGTAATGAGATAACTAAAGAACAAAGAGGAATTACCTGGAAAATTTCACATTGGCTTGAGTTTTGTACCACTAAAACAAAAGCTGCAAGCTGGCCACTAGTTTTCAGAATGCATTTTTAAGTTTATTGATAAGAAATAGATTCCTACATAGATGCAAAAAGCACTTGAGTGTTTTGCTCAATTATGTGATTGTGTCCTTCAGTTAAAATATTTTTTCTGCCTATGTTAAGGACATGACTACAGGAAAACATTACTTGTGCTTGGCTTCTGCAGACATTCATGGACAGGATGCCTCGGTGAATTAAAATGCTTGATTTCATAAAAATCCATTAGACCCTTTAATCCTTAAGATGTTTCAGAATGCTTCAAGGTAAAAACAAAAACCTTTCTAGAATAAAGGTAATAATTCTTATCTAAAGTAATTATCTTAGATTTTAAATGCAGCATCAGTAGTTCCATAAGTATACAAAGATCTTGATTTAATAACACTCATTTTTTTAGGGCAAAAATCAGCCAGTATACAAAGACTGAATAGTACACTTTTTAGATAACTTTCTGAAACAGTATCAGGAAGGTAAGGTAGCTCAAGAGGAGACATCAACTGGTTAAATGAAAGGACACATGCACACAGCCAGCGCTGACCGACGTGCAAATCTGCGCTTCCTCCCAGGCAGGAGAAGGCCTCCCGGCATCCAGGCTGGGTGAGGGCAGATCTGCCGTCCACTGTGCACCAGTGAACAGCTCCCAGAGGGAAGTCGCTACGGCCCAGGGTGCAGCCATAGGTAAGAGAAGCCACCCCACTGGACTGCTTGAAGGTAGGAATTGCGGCATTCTGTGTTTCTGTTGTCTGAGCAATTTTAAATTTCTAAGCCAATTTTGTTTCAGGAAATCCTGTAACACAACTCAGAACTTGGGTTGCTTAAAAAGTATTTCAAATAAAACTTCAGCAGTATTATTTAAATACCACAGCTACACTATCTGAACCTTTTTTATGTATTACTTTTAGACTACTTAATTAAACTCTTTAATTGTAAACAAAAGAGCCCATAAGTTTTGCAATTAAATTCAAGTTGGTATTCTTCTCTAGGTACCAGCCACCCCCCAAAATATGCTTAACAGCACTCCTGGACACACTGACCGCCATCTGGTGGCAACTTTCCGAAAAGACAAGCTCTGTCCTCCTTACTGACACTCGTGATGCTGGTGCAGGCGGCTTGTGTGTTAAAGGAGGTACGGGAATTTAACACTTGCAAATGACCAGGTGCACCAAAATCTAAGCATAGCTGTCCCTAAGAACGTATGGCATAACTGTTCGCGTTCTCCTGAAGAATACTGCGACACGGCCACGAAGATGACAGCTCTTCCATACAGGTACTATGCCAGGTTGGGAAGAGAAGAATCTGTGCGCCAGTGTTGGGAAAGACAGAATCGGTGAGCACTTCCACAGGTGAGTTGCCTCCAGCCACTGTCGGACACCGATGAAATGGGTATGGGCTGCTCTGTCAGCAGAACAATTCCTCGCCTCCCTGCCCTTGAAAAGCCATTAACCTTCAGTCTAAAATGGATTTTTCTTATTAAAACAACTCTTTGGTCATGGACAAACAAAGATTTGAGACTTTTTTCATTGGGATCCCAGTACAGGTTTTGTTTTTAATCTTTAAAAAATTAAGGAAGAAGAGCAGAAAAACAGTTGGTTTAATTGAAGTGGAATTTAAATCTAAATGGTCCTCCTGAACTGAAAGGATTGAAACCTTGCCATGAGTTCCAGCTTCTGTGAAAAGGGTTGCCACCTCCTCCTTGTTGGCTTTCGGCATCCAGAGGATCTTCTCCATCATCAAACTTCTTCCTCATTTCTAGAAAAGAAATCAGCAGATTAAGACCCTGGTATCAACCAAGAAGGCTTGCAACAACTCCAGAGAAAGCGACCTGCAAAAATCACACTTGATGAAAGAACCATGCCAGCACTCTAACCTCCAACATGAGTCTACCAGGGAACAACTCACCACACCTGGCCCTCCGTACCTACTGGGCTTCCTTAGAGCCTCGCTGATCATCGTAACAGCGCTACGTGTCCTCAGATGTGATAGTGAGATTCCCACCACACACCCTCCAGAGGCTCACTGTCGCTGTCATGTGACTTCCACTAGCATGTCTCAGCACTGAGCAGAGAGGACACAGCAGGGACGGAAGAAAGCTCAACGCCAGACATTGCTGAATAACAGGACAGGAAGTATGTATTCCTACTGTACTTAGTGCAATGCTCATCTGTTCCCTTACTGGGTTAGAAAGTGCTTAGAACAAAGAATCATTCATTTCAATCCCACAGGATAAAAGGGTGCTCAAAAAAGATTTGCCAAAGGGGCAAAACTTGATTCCCTCTTTGTTCTGTTAAGTTCAAATCAGAAATTCTGCTCCCAATGACATGGAAGACCACAAAAAAAGCCATAGGCATCAGCTTATCATTAAACTTCCCCGGAGACAGCAGAGCATTCGTAGTTACTATCTCAGTTCTTAGCCTGTCTCCCTTCTTACATTCTAGGGTGTGTAATGTATGATACATAATGAATAGAGATCAACCAGTAAACCTAATGACTTGATGTGTGGCAAGACTGCTAGTGAACACAGGCATGTGAGAGCCCAAAAGACCCTGGCTGCCCATCTGCTTCTCCCTGTCCACACCGCATCCGTGTGTAATCCAGCCTGGCATGCTGGTTTCCTCACCAGAGATTTATTTCCCCATTGACCTGCGAGGCTGGAGGGAAACTAGGATGGTGTTGTGCTCAGTTTTGTGTTCTCTTGTCACAGGTTCAAAAACAGGCCTAAAAAGTCATAACCTATTCAAGTAGAAACAAGATTCAAACTCAGGCCTTCTGATTTCACATCTGATGATCTTTTCACTCACTGCAGCATGTATCTGTGGGTCTTCAGTCACAGCAGACAAAGTTGTGAAACTACAGGGCCGAGGACGAGGCACAGCCCTCACAGTCCACAGTGACATCACCTTCCACCTTCTACCTGACACTGCCTCCAAGACAGACCACAGATAGGAAGAGCTAATAAATCACCAAGCCCACTATTTCAAGAGAATAGAAAAATGCTGAAGGTAAACAATACCTGGATCCGAGAGGACTTCTTTAGCAGCTGCTATGTCAATGAATTTTTTCTCAGCTTTTTTCTTTTCTTCTTCATTCTGAAAGTTATCTGGGTGCCACTGCAGTGCTAATTTTCTGTATGCTTTAATAATTTCTTGCTTTTTGGCATTTCTGAGGGGTAAAATTAAAAAGTGTTCAAACTATTGCCATGAAAATTAGAAGAGTTGGGTTAAGATCTCACTACAAACAGCAACCCAGATTTCCTAATAGTTCTGAAGATTTGACACAGTTCTGGAAAATCATTAAAGCCACCCAGCCTTCCATATATACTTTTACACTAAGAATCTTACTGTGAATAAAGTACTGACCTTTACAATTGTGCCCTTCTGAATTTGCAAGCTACTGTACTATGACTTAGTTCTTTGTTGGCGTTAAAACAATAATCTGACTTTTTGAATGCTTAGCTTTGGGATTCGTTTACTAAATTAGTAAGAACAAAGTTCCAGATTTTGGATTGAAAGTTGATAGCTTACTTGGTCAGAGAAGATAGGTCTTATAATAAAAGCACAACTATTCATTTAGGCCTAGAGGTTTTTTCTTTTCATATTCCCTTCTCCTCTGTCCACCATGCCTACCAAAAGAAAGCTCACTGCTACTTCTTAACCCTTCCTAAGAAATCCAGGTCTAAGACCTGTTCATGCCACAGACTATTACTGTGTTAGTAGTCTGCATCAGATAAATTTGCCTGTAACATATTCAAAGTAGCTTTATGATGATTTAAGATTTTTAGAATAACGTAACCACAATTACATAAATGAGAAATGAGAGAAAAAAAACAATGACTAGCTTTAAAATTGTTGATTAAATACAGCAATGCAAAATTTAAATTAATAACTGACCTTTTTACTCCCAAGATTTTATAATAATCTCGTTTCTGTGACTGTTTCAATAGTCTCTGTGCTTTCTCTAGACCTTCCCGAACCTGCTGATCATTTTCATTGTGTTCCTGAGCAGCTTCATAATCCTGAATAGCTGTCGATATATGTTTAAAATAAATTGTTATGGAGATTTAGAATTGTTTTTACTTATCCTTCAAAACTAACACCTAGTCATTATCCCCAACCCCTTCACAGTTTCTTCACTACTGCAAAGAACCTAAATGGTATCACCTTTTTAATTTTGTTCAGAAACTTACAAAAGACATACTTAAGTCAGTTATTAGGTGGTTTATTGTTCCCATTCAACAAATTCACTGCTTTTGGTTTACTTGCTCACCCTCCCACATTATCTCCACTTATCTCCTTCAGATTTTAGTATCAATACTTCCTACAGAGCAGTCTTACTTCCACTAAGACTGAATGACTGTCACACAGGAAAGGAAGACAGTGGCAAAGAGATCAGCATTGGGCAGCCAGCATGAGAGAAGCAGAGGGTAGAAAGGAAGCAGGAAGCAGACAGCGGTCAGGATGACTGTCCCTGGCTTGTACCGGATGTCACCCATGTCTCATCTGTTCAGAGGTGGAGCTTTTAGAAGGTGACTGGATCATAGGGGTACAATATTCATCAGTGGATTGGGAAATATAAATATAAAAGTATAAATTTTTAAATCTAGAATATAATGAAAAGTCAACCTTTCAAAACCTATAGGCTTCAAATGGTGCTGAGAGGACAATTCCAAGCCTTATAAGGTTCAATAAAAATTAAGGGAGAAAAATGAATTAGTCATGATTCAAAGCTAGACAACATAAAAGTGAGATGTCTTTACAAGTACATTTGAAAACTCAAGACAGTAACTCAAACTAAACCCCAAAAAGAAAATCAAAACATTTTCACAAAATGTTTTCAAAGAGCAAACTCCCAATAAAGCTGCAGACTTTCCATGGAGATACTTTAAACTTTTACGTGGCAAGGATATTTCAAGTGTCTGCAGAACATTGAAAAAAGGAAAACTTAAGTAATTGCACCGACTCCTTAGCCTAATTACAGTAAATGTTTCCTGTATGTTAAGTTTGGGATTGAAAAAAAAATTTGTCCTCAATTTCTAAGACTGATACAGTATTCCCTTCTGGACTGGAATCAATCACTTTTTGAAGATGCACTTTCAAGAAAATGAAAACAATCCAAGAAACTTATGACTAAACTGTTTAAAAAGATGACCAAAAGGCAGAGAATGGACTCCAGGGACAAGAGCTATGTGGCAGGTGTAGGCTGTAGCAGCCAGGAGCCACAGAACTTTACAGAGCAAGTGGATTTCATTAATCTACTGAATGGTTTTCACTTCCAAACTGCCCACAATTAGAGGTCAGAATTCAAATACTGTACATACAGACTTTACAGATGTAGTAAAAGGTATTCTAACATCTTACGAGTAGAATAGAGATGGAAATATATTAACTTCCTTATTATAAGTAATATAAAAACACTGTCTACAGGTGATAGAGCAAGAAAAACATTAAGATGAATTATAATTTATGTATATTATAGAGCAGTCACTACAACCCTTAAGTAAAATAATGAACACAAGCACTGCTATACCATAATAGTTGATGGAAAAACTGAGACAGCTACTAAATAACTAACAGGTGGGCAGACACTATATCTACTGTGGACACACTGGACATGAGCTGCCGCCTGAAAAGGACAGAGATTACTCAGGCCACTCAGAATGGCTATTTAAAACATAAATGCTCCCATTTACTGCTTCTGGAATTTCATTAACTATCCAGAAGTTGGTTGTTTTGTTTTGTTTTTGTGAAAAGATCTTGCCATGTAGTCCAAACTGGCCCTGAACTCACTATGCAGCCCAGGGTAGCCTCGAACTCACAGCGATCCTCCTGCCTCAGCCTCCTTGAGTGCTGGGATTCTAGGTGTGCAGCACCACACCTGGGTGGTTCTTTATTCATCTTTGTCATTTTAAATTGATAGTTTTTTTGTTTGTTTGTTTGATTTTGAGATAGGGTCTTGCTGTATCTCTTCCAGGCTCGCCTTGAACTCACTATGTAGCTGAGGCTGGCCTTGAAGTGATCCTCCTACCTCAGCCTCCCCAGTACTGAGAAAAAACTGAGCAATATGCCAAGCATCACAAACTAAGTTTTACCATTCAAATCCTTCATTTAACTATAACAAAAAAGAAACTGCTGGTTTTGACTTAAAATGCTTTACCCCAACTTGGAAGAAAAACGAATAATGCACCGGGCGTGGTGGCGCACGCCTGTAATCCCAGCACTCAGGAGACTGAGGCAGGAGGATAGCTGTGAGTTCGAGACCATCCTGGACTACACAGTGAGTTCCAGGTCAGTCTCAACTACATAGTGAGACCCTGTCTCAAAAAAAAAAAAGAAAAATGAATATTGCAATAAGGGTCTATAATGCTTATTTCTTTTTTTAAAAATCTCATTGAAATATTCATAACATACTGTTACTCAAAGTTATAAAACAACATATATAATTCTGTTTTTTAAATGTGTATTTTTGTATTGCCAACTTTAGTTATCTTCCAGAAAAAAAGGGCCATTGCCTTTATTCAAAGTCCTTAATAACTTTCAGCAAGAATCCCTCTTATTACTTCAACTTGAACAAAGTAGGTTATATATATATAGGCTCTGTGTATTACAGATAGCAAGTGTATGCATAGAACACACATAAAATAAAGAGTAATACATCTACTGACAAAAGTCTACAAAGATAAACTCAAAATGAAAAGTGACTGCCTTTGGATATCAGATCTATAAATAAAATTTTCTAATTTCTTGTCTTCCCTAACTTGACTGCAGCAAATAATCCTAAAATTTTAATATAGGCTCTGTGTATTACAGATAGCAAGTGTATGCATAGAACACACATAAAATAAAGAGTAATACATCTACTGACAAAAGTCTACAAAGATAAACTCAAAATGAAAAGTGACTGCCTTTGGATATCAGATCTATAAATAAAATTTTCTAATTTCTTGTCTTCCCTAACTTGACTGCAGCAAATAATCCTAAAATTTTAATTTTTATAGTGTACTAAACTGATTTCAGCAGAACTCTCCTCAGAGAATGTACCTAAAAAAGAATAATTGTCAACATGTCCAGGAATGCTGGTAAATTTGTTCTAAAGGGCCACTGAACATATGCCAACCTCATAAAATTAACTGTTACTGCAAATCAAATCCCTTGAAGACGTACCTTCGTCATACATTTCTTCTATTAAGTAGGCCTCTGCTCGATCTTTCAGAGCATTCACATTGTCAGGTTCCATTTGTAAAACTTCAGAACACACTCTAATAGCTTCCACAGGCTTCTCGTCCTAAAAGAAAATGTCAGAAAATAATTTAGGGCTGTTAATCCACATGTTAAGTACTTATATTTCTGGGAACAAGTCAACTGTTACCTTAGAAAAGCAGTGACAAATCCTCTCTTTTGAACGAAGTGTATATTCAGCAATGTTGGGCTCTGTTTTCATGACAGATTCATATTTGCTCGTGGCATCTGTGTATCTGTTAAATGTGTAAATCATGATGAGTAAGAGTGAAGTTCTAGCTCCTGAACTACAGAATTCACTATGTGTAGAATGCTTAACCAATTCAGCTGAGTGAGCACCTGCCTTCACACCCTGCTGTCTGACCTCCAGAGTTGCACAGATGGTATAGTCCTGAGGAAGGAGTTAAAACAGCAGATGTTGCCTGTGAGCACCAATCAAACCCAGCACTGATGTTTGTTTTTTTTTTCTGGTACCAAGGATTGAAATTGGGAGCTTGCACTTGAGAGGCAGGTGCAGCACAACTGAGCTAAATCCCCGGCCCCTGTGCTGACATTTCTTATAGAACACAACTCATGATTTTCAAATATTAAAGCACAAACAGTCTGACTTACACTGTAATAAACTCTAAGCACAAAATGGAAATTAAGTTTTATTTCTTGGCTGCTAATACACTTATAAAAAAAATAGAGCCTAGTATGTGCCATTTTATATAATTAATATCATATATTCACAAATAAGTACAATGTAGAATCTTAAATTCCCAACTTTACAAGCTTTCTAAGAGCAATAAAGCAAGTCGTATCTTTGTACTTGACTGATTAGAAAAGTGAATTTTATTCCCTTTCCCCTACCCTTCCCACTTCCCTACACTTTTAGCCCTTTTCTTCCTATTTCACATTGTGAATTATCTCATTAGGATCTTGTGTACTATTATAGTTTTTCAACCAGAGAAACTATTTGGTATTAACACACGTGTGACTTATTTCACTTAGGAGTATATTCTCAAAATGTATCCATTTTCCTATGAATGAATCTGATTTCTCAAGGGAAAATAAAAATATGAGAAAATGAAAAAAGGGACATAAAGTGTTTGTAAATGGGGAGGGGAGGAGGTGGTGAAGGGAGGACAGGGACAAGGGGAAAATGAGAACCAAGACCTGTCATGTAAAGGTACAAGATCCCAATAATGAATGTAACTGTACTGTATCCCTAAAATGTACCAATAAACACAATAAAAAGAAAAAAAAGGTGAATTTTATACTGGATGCATTCTGACAGGAAAATCTTGTCCCAGCACTTACTGTCCGTCTGATATTCAGCACCAACTGCCTCATCACTCATTACCCTTCTAGCCAAAGAACTCTGGCTGGGACTCATCGCGCATCTCAGAACCAATTAACAAGTGCCAAGGCCCCACTGTATTGCACCATTCTTTAAAGTGGTGGAAAGGCTTGTTTGTGAAAGCTTGACCAGCTGGTTGTTGTATACCAAGTTATTATCTTCGAGAATGGGCCAGCTAAAAGATATTTATATGCCATTAACTCCAAAAATGCAATAATCTTCACATTTAAATGCTGATACATTAATACACAGGCTTTTTTGAACATTTGAAAGAAAAGCTAGCTTCTGGTAAAGTAAAGTTGGTGTACTTTTCAAACTTCCTCCAGCTAAGTACAACTAAACTGCTAGATATTACATGTTTTTAAAGACTACAGACACCAACCAGGTACAGAAGAAGGCAAATCAGCTAGAAACCTCAGGAATGAGGAAAAACATGGTAGTAAATTCCCTGCATTTCTCATGTCCCAGACTGACAGCTGAAGATGCCAGTAATCTAGAAATGCAGAACAAACCAGAAGTTTGCCTTCCCTGAGCAGAGAATCTGGAAAGGGCTGCCTAGCAAGGCAGAAAACTGACATAACAGCTTTAGACCAGGCAAATGCTTCAGACAAAATCATGGTCCTCTACCACCATCACCCCCACAACTGCCAGCAGAGGCCAAGGGCCTCTGACATCCTCCCTGACGAGGCTGAACAAGACTGCCCACCACACCTGCCAAGGCAGAGTCAGAGAAGGCCAAGGGGCCCAGACTTTCCTGCATGGTTGGCAAGTCCCGCTCTACTCCCCCAGTGGAGTCAGTGGAAACCATGTGAGGAGCCACAATTCGGACCTGCACCAAGCCACCTGGGATACAGCAAGAAGACCTCTTCCCCTCAAGTATCAACAAAGGCCAAATGAGACGCTTCCATCCCACCCTCTCTTTGCTTGAACAGCAACAGAAAAAGCTACCCAAAACAGAAGGTTTAAATAAAAACCAAAGCCTTAAACAGAAAATGAAAATTCTAGTTTCAGTTAAAAACCACTCATCACACCAAAAAATATTAAAAGTCTCAGATTTAATGAGAAAAGATACTAAATGCCAAAGGACAGAGATGTTAAGAGTTATCTGTCAAAGATGTTAAAGTACCCATGAAAAAAAGCATCAATTATAAACAAGCTTGAAACATGAAAAACATCAAATGCCTCAGCAAATAGTTTCAGTGAAGAAATAAAAGATACAGAGAGTAACCATATCATATTCTAAGAACTAAAAAAAAAAACAAAAAAAAAAACAAATGGAAATAAAAAGCCTCACTGAATGTACTCTATAATACAACCAAGGGGAGAGATAAAACTTACTGAATAAAACAGAAATTACCAAATCTGAATGACAAAGACAGACTTTAAAAACTGAACAGGGCCTCGGAAATGTAAGGCTATAACGAAAGATCTAATATTAATTTTACCTTAGTCCAAAAGAGAAAAAAGCTGAAAAAGTTCTTTAAAAAATAATGGATGAAAACTTCTTATATTCAAAGGGACACAGACCTAGATATAGTTGTGCACTGCTTAATAATAGAACTACTTTCTGAACATGACATACACCAGTTAGGTGATTTCATCATTCTGCAAAAACAGTGTGCTTATACTGACCTAAATGGTATGAGTGGCCTCCAACATGAGAGGTTTAAGGCTGCTGCCAACATGGCACAGTATCCTGATTTACAATAAACATGTTTAATATTCTAATAGAAATACGGTATGATAAAATACATAAACCACTAATATAGTCCCTCATTTTCACTGTTAAGTGTGGTGAATTGCATTTTTATATGACTGCCAAGTTTATTTCCATTAGCATCACCACAAACACTTGAATAATGCAGTATTACAATGGTTCTGATGTCACTAGGCAATGGCAATTTTTCACCTCCATTATAATCTTATGGGACCACCGCCGCATATGTGGGTGTCTTGACCAAATGGTATTATATAGTGTAGGACTATAATCATGAAGCTAAGTAACTTGCAAACAGAATCAACACAAAGAAATCCTTGCAAAGACGTATCACAATTAAACTTCTGAACACAAAGAAAAAAACTCTAAGTCAATTTTTCCCTTAAAAGTGCCATTTCCTATTAGAATGACAAAAGATTTCTCATCAGAAACTATGACGGCCAGAAAAAGTGGCCCAAAATTTTGCAGACACAAAATAGGAAAAGACCTGTTAACGCAGAATCCAAACCCAGAGAAAACTTCCTTCAGTAATTGGGGGAAGTCAAAACGTTCTCAGGTAGAGAAAAACTAGGAAGTCTGTTACCAAGGCCTTCCAAGGAGTTCTCCAACTCAGTAGCAGACCACATGCGCAGGATATATGAGGACCTGGGTTCGATCCTCAGCACCAAGGGTAGGGGGGCAACCACACCACAAAAAATAGCATCTTGAAACATTAAGAAGGAACAAGGAGCATGGTAAGCAAAATAAGAACCAAAATCTGAGAATTCCTTATGGCTTGTCCCCCAAAAGTCCACATTCTAGAAGCTTGACCCCTAGTGTGGCAGTACCTTTAAGAGGTGAGGCCCAGTAGAAGTTAACTAGGTCACGGGGGCACTACTTTAAAAGGGATTAATGTAGCTCTCCCAGAACCATGTTTCTTATTAACATGGAGAAAGTTATTATAAAGTGAGGCCACCACACATGCTTGGCCTCTTCTGCTTCTCTGCCATACTGTCATACAGCCAGGAGCCCTCACCAGGATGCAGGTACCATGCTGTCTAGACTTTCCAGCCACCAGCATAGGACAAACCTTTTCTGTATAAAGTATACCCAGACTCATGTATTTTGTTGCAGCAACACAAAACAAACTAGCCTGTTTGTTTCTTTTCTTGAGTTTCTAAATTATGTTCAGTATTGAAGCAAAATTTGTAACTGTCCAATGTTGTAGAGGAGATATTTAAGACAATTATAAACAGGAGAAGGTAAAGGTATTTTAAGGGGAAAAAAGGTTCTTTTACCCTATGTTCAGCTGCTGAAATGACACCAATAGACTCTAATAATGTCATAACTACAATAAACTCTAAAAATAGAGCTGAGTATAGTGGTAGATGTTAAATGGTACATTCATTCTGAAAATCAATTTGGCAATTTCTTACAGACTAAACATACAACTTCCAGACAGCCTAGCAATACCATTCGTGCCATTTATCCCAGAGAAATGAAAACTTACATTCACCCAAAGGCCTATACATGAACACGGCATTATTCATTAATAGCCAAAACAGCTATTACGACCTCCAGTGGTGATCTTTAATAAGTGGCTAAACAAACTAGTACATTCAAACCATGGAAACTAGTCAGCAATAAACAGAAAAGAAATATGGATACATATAACAATCTGGATACATCTCCAGAGAATTAAGCTGAATGGAAAGCTAGTCCCAAAAATTTAGGTTCTATGTGACTCCATTCCTGTAACATTCCTGAAATGACAGCATTATAGAAATGGAAAACATATTAGTGTTTATAGGAGCTAAGGAAGAGGTGAGGACAGAAGAGAAGTAGTCCTGACTATAAAATGAGACATCTTAGTGGTAGAAGTAATTAATATCCTGATTGTGATATTACACTGTAAGTTTCCAAGGTGTTACAATTTTTAAGAAACTGGGGAAAACTGGGTAAAGCATCCTTATGAGGAAAGCTTACAAAGGAATTAGGAGTGGGGGGTCAGACCCCTACTTTCTAAGCAGTATTGTGTGGCATGTTTGATATTCTCTTTAACTCTCCTGCTCCACCCTGTAAACCTCCTACAAATAATAGACGGAACCCTTTACTTTTAGCAACTCCTACTTATACTTCAAGATGAGCATTTAAGTATCAGTCACCTCCAATAAGCTTCTGTTTTACTCCTGGGCTTCCCCACTCTACATCAGCTCAAACAGCCTTCTTTGGTGCTCCCATCATACTGTGTACACGCTAGCACTTTGGGAATATTACCTTTTAGGAAGTTCATGTCTGTCTCCCACACTATGCTATAAACTTTTTAAGATCAAAAACTATTCAGTCAAATTCATTTTGGCATTCTCAGTACATAACTCAGAGCCTGATACGAGAAACAATAAAAATCATAACATAAACATACATAAGGATAATATGTGATTTATATTACTGTGGTACTTGAGTTCACAGAACTCAATTCTTCCCGTGATTTCAGCTGCAAACTGAACTGAACAAGAACCAAGTCAAACTGCCCCATAAGGTCAACACTGAACCTAACCACTGAATTTGATGTGGTTCTTGTCCAGTTTGGTTTGCAACCAGAATTGCGGGAAGAGTAAGAGTTCATGGGGCTACGGATTTAGCTCAGTGGCACAGCGCCTGCCTTGCAAGTGCAAGGTCTTTAGTTCAATCCCGGGTACAAAAACAAAAGAGAGAGAGAACAGAGTTCATGACCACTGTATTATATTCTGTCTTGTTCCAAAAAATGTGCAATCCTGATAGTTTTGCTAAGGTCCAGTATCATCTTACCTCGAATAACCAAGAAACCAACAAGCAGACAGTTTAGTAGTTCATCTGTGCCCACAAGAAGACATAAAAGGAAAGTCTGGATAGTGTAAATAAGCGTATTCTTACCTGCCATCTCTGATAAGCTCTTCAGCTGACTCAATCAGCTTATTGAGTTTCTTCACTTGTTTATAGTGTGCAAAACACCTTTTATGATCCTGATCAAGTTTAAGACATTCACGAACTTCACTGCTCATATAATTTTTAAAAAGGAAAATATTCCAAGTTAAAATAATGAATAGTTTTGCACACTAAATATAGAAATCATAAGTGTTTTCATTTATAACAATTAAAACATACTGCCTTAATAATTTATTGTACAGTTATACATGACATTGTACCACAGACGTACTAAGTCAAATTGGATGACTTATATAGCGTTATACACTAAACATTCCACTGTTTCTACAAATAAAAGAGGAGCCCTCACATTTACTTTAATAACTATATTTCATTAAATTATTTGAGAGGGGAGGAGCGGGTGAAGGAAGGGCAGAGACAAGGGGAAAAAATGAGAACCAAGACCTGTCATGTAAAGGTACAAATTCCCAATAATGAATGTAACTATACTGTATACCTAAAATGGACCAATAAACTCAATTAAAAAAAAAATTATTTGAAATCAAAGTAACTCAGGGATGGATACAGACAATAAAATAAATATAGAATATATCCACAGATATAAAATATAAAAGAAGGCTTAATCAAATAATTTTAACTGTGTACTGTAAATTTATTTAAATGAAGTTATTCTTGGGCCCGGGAATTTAGCTCAGTGGTGCCACCGCCTCCCTTGCAAGTGCAAGGTCCAGATCCTCGGTACCAAAACAACAAAAAAAATGACATTACTCTTATTGCCAATGACAAAAGAATAATCAGAATATGGGTGTCAGTAGAACTGACCTGAGGGATAGCTCATGGTCTCCTAGTTGGTAGTACAGTGTGCTGATTTTTAAAAATGCCTCAGTATTATCATTCTTCAATTTTGATGCAGCTTTTAAGTCACTTATAGCTTTCCGAGGTTCCCCTTCTTTTATGAAACATTCAGCTCGAAGTTCTCGTAGTTCTGCATCCCAAACACAAACCTTAAACAAAAAAACTAAACATTAAGAAACAATAATTATGCACATTCATTTTTGCATCCTACATATTTTTATTAAAATATTTATCAACATAAAACATTCTCAATGTGATGACTTATGTCCTGTAAATAATGTTTAAAAGTCTGATACAACTTAAATGTGACAAAAATTATGTGACAGTTTCTCCAGAGACATCTTAAATTCTAACTGGAGAAATATATATATATATGGCCTCTTTCTTTGTGTCTGTCAATTATATATACAATTCTAAAACTGAGTATAAGAAAACATAGCATTCACTATAAAAGGGCTATTCCCAGCAAAGTATATTTGAAGGGAAAATATTTTACAATGAGATTTGTACTTAAAAATTATAATTTCTAGTTAGGAAAAAATGCAGTTTCTAAGTTAGCAAATTATTTTATTCTACTGATATCTAAATAAATTCTCTTGTACAATGTCACCTCTTTGAAATTAAATCCTTTTATCAAAAAGAGATTGGATTCATCAGTGAGTGACCGAATACCTCCACTGTGGTACTAAAGAGAAGCAGTTATTCTAAGGCAGGGGTGAAAGATAAAGTCTGACACAGGATAATGAAAAGACAACACAGCTGGACTAAAATGCAGATTTTAGAGGATGAGAGAGGGAATACTGGTCCACAGCAGGATCACACTACCATGCTGCCACTCCAGACCCACTGCCCCTGCCATCTTGGGAAAGGGCTGGGCCAACTGAGGGAGGGAGCAAGTTGGCCCCTCAGAGATGGTCTATCATATTAAATAAACCCAGACAAGATAGCTTCCCACTGAGCACAGAGAAGTTAGATGGCTTCAACCCAGGGATACAAAGAAGCTGAAAACAGATGGGGTAAAATCTCATTTGCCACACACCATTACCCCAGTCCCAAGAGCCTGCAGGCAGCAGAACAGCAGGAGAGAAAAGGTTCCCCCAACACAATTTTAATAAAAACAATAATAAACCATCTATTTCTCCCATATCAATACAAGGGAAATATGTGGAAAACTCAGTGCCCTCCTGCTTAATACAGTACTCAAAACAGCCAGAGCAACCAGGCAAGAGCCACATCACATGATTTCCTACATAAAATTATCAAAGAAAATGCTCATTTTAAATACAACACAAGTTTACTTCCAAGACTAAGTGAAACTGGACATGAAAGGACTGTGAAAATAGTAAAATAAGAATTGTGACAGCCTCCATTAAGAGTATTTTAGACTTCATTCTGAAATCATTTGTCATTAAATCCTCCTGAGGCAAAGAGAGCCAGTCTAAACTTAAATTACCTATCTAAAACGCTCTGAAGCCTATCATTTCTACCTGCCTTCTTTCCTAGAAACCCTTCATTGTAAATACTCCTCTTTCCAAAATTATTTTTCCTTTTGCTTCAACCAACTTTCATCTTTTACCTTATCTTATCTTGTCTCTAAAGTTCCCTTTCACAAAGAATACAACATCAAACCAAATAGCAAAACAAGCAGTACATAAAAATTTAAAACATTTGGCCGGAGATTTAGCTCAGTGGTGCCAACCGCCTGCCTCGCAAGCACAAGTTCCCAAGTTTAATCCCCAGTCCCCCGCAAAAAGGAGATATAAACACACACACACACAGAGAAAGTTTTGTTGCAAATTTTTTCTACAGAAACAGTCACACTTAAAGAGCTGAAAGCTCAACAATTAATCTGATTTTGTCCAGTCTAGGTATTTTGTGGTTACAGAGCGTATCAAAGTACATAAACATGGCTAACAGTAAAAAGCAATGTCAGGCTTGTCAGCTGTAGCATCTAAGAAACTTACCTCCAAAATCTTATTAAGGAAGGTTATAACAGCAGTATAATCTGCACTTTCAAAAGCATCAAGTGCTTGTGAACGCAAACGCTGCATTTCATCAGACTTTATAAGCTGAGACTGGGCTTCCTTTTCTTCGTTTTCACTTGGATTAGATTTGAGCTATAGGAATAATGACAAATTAAATTAAGCAGAGTTTTCAATCTTTTCTGTTCCACATCAACAAGACACACAAAGATTTAATCATTAGAAACACTGTGGAGGAGACCCTGGTGGGGAGCACAAGTTTCTAACATCATAAACCCAGCTAACAGCAACAGGCTGCATTCACCTGCTAAGACTGGGTAACTTTGTTACACAACAACAGGTAACTAACACAGTAGTAACTAATACTTTGTGAAGGTTGTATCATTTCTCAGTAGCATGAGGTACCACAAGGGCACCTGGGTTCACAAACTTAATTCTGGGGGAGGTGGCTACATGTGTATTCAAATGCTTTGGTTTGCCAACAAAATTGTGAACAGCAGCATTCATGAACTGAGACATAGTATTGCTTCAGTCTCACTGGAGGGATTATTTCAAAAATGACTGGTGCTCCCTCGACTACTGCTTTTACACAAGCTCCTCACCCTTCCCCTAAATGGTACATCTACCCACCTGGCTAACACTAATTTACCCATTTATAAAGATTAAGATGGCAAGCAGGTAACCTGCTTTATGAAAGCCTTTCTTAACTCCAGACCCCCAAATCCAAGCTAAAGCTAAATGACCCTTCTTTATGTTCCTAGAGGACCTAATCCCAGCACCTACTATCTGTCTGATTAGTTCTTAGCTTAGTTTCATCTCTTAGGAGGGAGAGACTAGCTTTCTCCATCAGCATCATTAAACCACCTATAGTCTACCTAGCAAAGAACATGCACTCCACTACTCACTGAACCAACACATTAATGTACCAATTAAAGCGAGAGTCACTGACAGTTCAAAGGTAAACTAAACAATCTGTTTAAGAATGGAGCAGCCAGTATAGACCTGAAGTAATAACTTGTTCACTGGTAATCCACAGAATGAGATTGTCATTGGCACCGAAAACGTGATTAAGGCTATTTCACTTTAAAGAAAAAGTTTTTAAAACATTCATTTACTGTAAAAAATGTGTTCTATTATATAAAACATAACTACTAGATGAAATATAGTATTATATTAGTATATGAACTTTTTAGTAGTATATCTTTAGACTGGTAAATGGTCTTAAACACTCATTTAACTTTAGGCATACAAAATAACCAAACTATTCAAATATTCAACAATTAAAGTATAATAATTATTTAATTAGTGAAGATAAAATATAACTATGACAAAATTGATCTTTTCAAGCTAGATACAAAAATCATCCACTTTATGATAACAACAGAGTATCATGTTACCTACTCAACCTCTATACTTCAAGTGAGGAAAATGAAGACCTCAAAGGCAAGAATTTTCCAAGATCAATTAAACAAAATGTGTAAAATATTTATTTTCTGAATAACTAATATGGTCACATGGAATACTTTTCCTCCAAAAAGTAACAAATGTTATTAGTTTCTTACATATAATTACCCATATTCAAACAAATGTATGTGTTTTCTCACTTTTACACAAATCACGGCAACTGTTCTGCACTGTGTCAAATGCATGTTTGAGACCTGTGCCCTTTTTCCACAGGAAAATCTTCAAGGACACAGGTGGACAGTTATTCATTATAACAAAGGGTAGAACAGCACATGCTTAACAGCAAAAGCTCTGAAATCTAAAACCTACTTGCTAGATAGTAGTGTAACAATGGCAGATGTTACGGATCAAATATGAAGTATCCCCCAAGACTCATGCATTGTGGGTGCTTTTCTCACAAACTGATTAATCCACTGATGAGTTGATGGCTCAATGGGCGATTAAGAGGTGGGGCCCAGTTGAAGGAAGGAGGTCGGTCAGTGGGGGTGTGTCTCAGAAGGGTATGTCCTATTCCCAGCCTCTTCCCTGTCTGTCTCTTCACCTCCCTCCACTCTGGCCTCCATGAGGTGAGCAGCTTTCCTTCACCATGCACCTCCATCATGATGTCGCTGCCTTGGAAACAGTGACTGTGGCCTAAAACTATGAAACCAGGAGCCAAAATAAACTTTTTCTCCTTAAAGTTGTGTATGTCAGGTATATCGTCCCAATGAGGGGAAGGTGATTAATACAGCAGATTACTAAACCACACTAAGCTTCAACTTCCTCTCCTACACAGTATGACTACCAATACACCACTCCCCAGAGACGGAGCCATGATTAACGCAAGCAATCCACTTGGCAGCATTCCAGCACATCTGAGTATTGCAAAATCTGATCTAAAAATCCAATGTTCCTCCCTCTTATTTCAAAGTTCTTCCTTCAAAATGTACTGTCTATAACTTTACAAAAGGGGAAATATTTTATCAGACACAAAAATATGTGGCTACAATCTACATTTTATAAACTGTTTTGCATTATTTTGTATGTCTAGGTCTGTAAGTCAATATATATAAATAATTGACACAACATCCTCTAAAGGTTTACAAAACCAACAGAACTCAAATAAATATTTCCAGGCAAAATGTTTTTCTTTCATAGTACTTACTGCCAGACCGTTCTACAAAAGCTGGTTTTATTAGCAATTTCAATATTATATGAACAAAACATTTTCTTTAAGACCCATCAAAATTAGGCTCTATGATATTTCTGGTTTTTGCTACATTTAACAGCAGTCCTTATGAACAGTTTTAATGTTTATCTCTTCATCTAGAAATCCTGAACATAGTACATAACTGCTTTTGGATTTGTATCTTTTATGTTGTATTCCTGATACACTAACTCCCCGACTTATGAGTATTTGAGTTGTGAACCTTCATGGATATTAATGGACCTCACATTACAAATATTCATAGATGCAAACAAATTGCAGCAGTAGCTCATGTGTGGGCCAGACATTATCACAGTTGTGCTACTGTTGCTTACTCTACAGTGCTGAATCAGAGCCCTGGATGTCCAGGAACAAGAGGAAAAGCAGTGTGTATGTGGTTGTTTCTAAGCTTCACATTGTATATTTGTGTCAAAGGTGTGTAAGGCTTTGTCGGACTTACAATCCTATCCGACTTACAAACATTCTCCTGAAAAGGGACTCGTTCATAAGTCAGGGACTTACTATAATAATATTTTATCATTTACGCCACAGAATATAGGTTCCAAGTGCTTAAAATTTGCTAGGTGTGGTATAACCCTAGCACTTGGGAGGCTAAGACAGGAGGATAACGTCTGAAGCCAGCCAAGACTGTGTAGTGAGCTCAAGCCCAGTCTAAACTACATAACCCAGACCTTGCCTCAAAAAAATCCCCAAAATACAAAACAACTAAATGTTTAAAATTTAATCAAATTTTATACTTATTAAGTAAGTTTTTCTTCAATATTCCATTTCCTCTCCCTGTCTCCCCTTTCTACCACCCACAAATCTTGAACAGCACTATACCTACTGATCAAAGGATATTTATATGGATTTTCTAGTTATTAATTTGAATTTGGGGTACCACAACAATGAGTTTGGGAAAACTAAGCAATCCAGCTAACCTAAATTTACTTCAAATTAGACAACATGAAATACTTTTGAAATATATGAATTTATTATACTTATCTGCTTATATTTTTCTACAAATCAAATCTAATCTAGTTATAATTATTCTTTTTTGTACCAGGGATGGAACTCGGGACCTTGTGCTTTCAAGGCAGCTGGCAGTACCACTGAGCTAAACCCCTGGCCTAGTTATAATTATTCTTATAAACACACCAATCAGTTACAAAAAATTTTTAAATGGTTTTTCAACATTAAGATTTAATTTGGTAGCTGGGCTCAGTGGTACTGTGCCTGCCTTGCAAGCGCAAGATCCTGAGTATGACCTCCAGTACAAAAAAAAAATTTAATTTGATCCTTCATCTTTATTCTCAAGATTTCTCCTATAGAACTAAGTACAAATTGAGTACTTTCCTCATGAAGTAATCACAAAAATTATTCCACGAAAAAACTAATTAAAAATAGCGCCATTTATAATCACTTCAGAAGAAAAAAGGAAAGAAAAGAAAAACTACAATATATAAGATGGCTCGGCATGGTGATACATGCCTGTAATCCCAGCACTCAGGAGGTTGACACAAGAAGATCACTGCAAGTCTGAGACCAACTTGAGCTACATAGTGAGTACAAGGCCAGCCTCAACTACATAGTGAGACCCGATCTCAAAACACAAAACAAAACAAAAAAACACAGAACCTGTGTACCATAAAGTACAAACTATTTATGAAAGAAATAAAAAGTCACCTAAATAAATGGAGAAACATGAGTTCATGAACTGGAAAACAACTAAAAAAGATGTCCAGGCTCCTCAGATTAATCTATAGGTTTACTTTGATTCCTATCAAAATAGGTGCAAAGCTTTTAACAAACATAGAATAGTTCATTCTAAAATATACATGAAAAGGCACAGGGTCTAGAGTTTCTAACACAAGTCTTGTCATTTTTTGGTACTGGGAATTGAACTCGGGACCTCGCACTTGCGAAGCCGACGGTGGCACCATTGAGCTAAATCGCCAGCCCTCTAACACAATCTTGACATAGAAGAATTACAGTGAGCAGAATCAGTTTACCCAAAATGGAAACTTATATTATTAAATAAGCATAAAGCCAGTGGCCTGAGGCTGTCTCCACATATTGAGTTCTTAAGGAACTATAACTCCATTCAGAATGTAAATAAATTGAAAACCTAACAGTAGAATGAAGAGCACAGTTTCAACTGATCACAAGCAGCTCAGCTTCAGCCAATCACAGGCTATCAACTGATCAGACCATGTCTACATAAGGCAAAGGCAGAGCCGCAACCAGTCAAGCTGTTTCTATGCCTCACTTCTATTTTGTCTATAAATAATCAGTGCTCACACTTCAGGGCCCAGATTCCTGAACCTTTTCTGGTTCTGACTACTTTCCAATTCATGAACCTATCTCTGCTAAGATAAACTCTACTAAATTGTCAAAGATTTTTATTTTAATACTGTACAGCTATACTAATCAAGAGAGCATAGGGCTGGGGATTTAGCTCAGTGGCACCGCGACTGCCCTGTGAGCACAAGGTCCTCAGTTTGATGCCCCAGTACCAGAAAATCCATGTTAAACAAAAATGAAGTTTTTAAGCCAAACGAGGACAAGAAGAATATGGTTAACCATCTCCCGTAGAAGCTTTTATCAGTGTATACTCCCCTGGCACATAATCAACAACCTTCCCCGCAACAAAGCCAAATTTTGGATGACTGGAAAATTTCCTTTAAGAATGTTTCCGGACTCTCCTCAAATCAAATGAAAAGTCTCTCAAGTAATATAGAGGACTTTAAGTATAGCTTACTTGACATTTCTAGATTCTAATACAGGATAAAACAGAGTAAGTGAAGTACATAAATTCAGGATTATACACCAATTGTGTACAATTTACCTTCCAACAATTAATGTGATTCTTGAATATCAGTCACCAAATATTAATTCAGAAACTGTGATTCTTATATTCAATTTTCCTTTTCAACTATAAAATTGCTAAATGATTTAATACAAAGGAAAAATAGATCCAATACCTTCTCTCAAAACAGCAACTTAGAACTAAGTACAAACTTAACTTACCACTTTTTTAAAATCATCTTCTGCTTCATCAAGTTTTCCTTGTTTGAGTAATAAGTGACCTCTCTGTAATCTTGCCTAGGAAAAAAGAGGGAATTGTGCTAAGTATAATACATAGTTCTAAATTTTCTTTAATTACAAAGAATAAAAACTAAGCTAATAAAATCATTAATATTTATTTTTCCAATGCTCATTTAAACTTGGCACTGAGAATAATTCCTGGAACAAATGAATGGCTATACTTTCTGTTAATATGCACTTTCTTAACAATACATTATGCTCTATTCAAGAAAACTGAAAACTTATATCTACACAAAAACTTGTACATGAATGTTCAGAGCAAAAGTTAAAAGTGGAAACTCAAGTTTCCATCAACTAATAATTCTATGAAATATTATTAAGCCATAAAAAGTAATGAAGCATTAATATATGCTACAACATAAAAGAACCTTGAATACATGCTCAATGAAAGAAATCAGACACATGAGGCCACATACTGAATGGTTTTATCTCTATGAAATATTCAAAACAGGCAAATCCATGATAAATTGTTGCCATAGACTAAAGTAGAAATGGGAAGGGACTGCTCAGAGGCACAGGGTTTACTTTGAGGGTTATAAAATGTTCTAAAACTAGGTAGTAGTCATTGCACAACACTGAAAATACACTAAGAACCACAGACTATTTTAAAACAGTAAACTTGATGGTATGTGAATTAAATCTCAATTTTTAAAAATAATTTTTGCTATATAGTAACTTTTGCCACTAAAATAAAAGTTGCACTATTTGGGTCCTTACCTATCAAAACTCCAGAAACAGATTTGCTTATCACAATGCCAGAAAAATTAGCTTCTTAATTAATTTTAGTGTAAAGTAACAGATTCCTTAAAACTTTGACACTTGGGAATTCTATCTTAAAGGGACAATAATATTTCAAATTAATATTCATTCCATATCTAATCAGTTATCCTTTTTTGGAATACTGAAGGACATAAATCAATGGTCATCAAATTAAGTTTTGGGGTTTTTTTTTTTCCTTTTTTTTTTGAGCAGGGTCTCTTTATGTAGTTCAGGCTGGTCTTGAACTTGAAGCAACCATCCTGCCTCAGCCTACTGAGTGATGGGATCATAAGCATGTGCCACCATACCCAGCTGGTTACCAAATTAATTTTGAAAAAATTGGTCTATGGTTCTGTTCTGCTTCTAAGAGACCTACCCTGGGTGCTACCCATTAAGTCCCTGCACATCTACCACAGTCCTCACAGAAATCTGTCAACCTTCAGGACACTGCACTAGACTACAAGTACCCCCACCCCAAAAAGTGTGCACTCATTCCACTGAGAATCCCGCTAACTCAGCACGGAACCCTCACCAAAAAGCACTGCTTAACTGAGCTATTCCCTTTGTTTCTTCAGCTTGTTAACCTCTTAATTTATATCTCCTTAATATCTTGCCCTGCCATCCATCCTTCACACAGATTTATCTTTCTAAATCACAAAGCCAACTTCTGAAAAATCACCTGATCAGCATCTGATCCTCTTTCATGAAGATTTAATTCTACAGGCTTTGTTAGCTCTGGTTTGGTTTTGACACGTGAACTATGTTCTCAGGTGGCCTCTAATTCCTGAACTCAGGGAATCCTCTCCTTCCCCCATGGCTGGGACTACAGCTGTATGCTTCTGTGCCCATAAATTCTAGGGACCTGGAACTACTCCTGTTCCCCAGTCCACTTCATCACAGCAGCTTTGATCTCCTGCAGCTGTGTGAAACATGTCAATCCTTACTTAAGAAACAAATTACCTCTTCCAAGTTCCCTTTAGTTCCCTTTTAAACAAAGTTTAGATAAACTTACTGCAGTAAAATCCATCTTCAATTGAATCACTTTAGTTAAATCAGGAAGTGCTGCTTTTGATTTGCCCATAGCTAAAAAGACAGTAGCTCTCCGATAATATGCAATATAATTATCAGGGTCACCATCTGCAAATTAAAGTAATAAATATTAGCCCTCTAATTTATTTTTTTAACAAATCATATGATCAGTTTTAGCATCTACAATTGTATTAGGAAAGGCATTAAGAAAAGAATTTCTTGGGCTGGGGATTTAGCTCAGTGGTTTTGTCACCTGCCTTGCAAATGCAAGGACCTGAGTTCGATCCCCAGTAAAAAAAAAAAAAAAAAGAAAAGAAAATTTCTTCATCAAAAAGGAGTCATGAAAGGGCTGGGGAAGGCCCTGGATTCAATCACCAGTGCCAAAATATATATATAAATATGTTTCATATATTTTTATATGTACTTCATACACAAAGTATCAGTTGAGTCATGCTGCTTAGCAAGATCACACTGCAAATAAATCTAGCATAGAGGTCAGCAAAATGTGAGTCTTTGAGCTAAATCCAATTCATGGACTTCAGCTAAGAACAACTTTTACATTTTTAAGAAGAAAGAAAAACATGAGACTATGGCTGCAAGCCTAAAATATTTATGTGGCCTTTTCAAAGAAAAGTTTGAAAACCCCGGTCAAGAAAGCTAATTATATTCAACGAATAACTTTTTATTTTCCTTGAAGTCAGGATATTCACAATGACCAATATATATCCCCTGCACATTTCTTTTTCAAGTTTTTATTTTGAAAGTCTCACTAAATGGCTGAGGTAGCTAAGTTGTTTCAGTGGGCTTGAACTTTACATCCTCCTGCATCAGCCTCCCGGATGCTGGGAGTACAGACATGAGTCACCATGCCCAGTTCATCTTATAACTTTTGTTAAATATGCAATTCAGTCTTTGTCTTGCATGAGATTTTAAGTGAAACACAGATTAAGAAAGTGGATTCTCAGCCAGCTGTAGTAACCTGTGCCTGGCATTCCAGCTACTCAGAAGGCCAAAGCAGGAGGATCACAAGGTTCAGACACAGCCTAGGCAACTTAATGACTCAGCAGGACCCTCTCACAAAATTTTTTTTAAAAAGGCTAGTGGTATAGCTCAAATCCCTGGGTTCAATACCAGCACTACAAAAAAAAAAAAAAAAAAAAAAAAGTGGACTGCATTTATTCATAAGATTTTAGAAAATGATCAACTTCTGACTTAGTATATTGTAAAATCTCTGCTTCTCACAAATGTCACCTACACTGGTACTGAAGCAATAAAGGTACAAACTACAAGGACAACAAAGGAAAATTGAAAGGGAGACTACAGAGAGTAGAGAAGTTAATATTTAAAAGAAGAAAAGTAGTAAGTATGGTACTGCACACCTGTAATATGAGCACTCAGGGAGACTGAGGCAGGAAAATCACAATGAGTTAAGAGGCCAGGCTAGTATACATAGCGAATTCAAGGCCAGCCTAAACTACATAGAAAGACCCTGTGTCAAACTTTTTAAAACAAAGAAGAAGAAAAAGAAAATTAAGAAATGGCTGTTAAAGAGATGCCTCACCAGGACATTCAGATCATTCTCTCACATGAAATCAGTAATGACATTTTCAAAACTTAGCACAGTTTATTTGAACTCAGCATGAAATTCTTTCAAGTAAAGAATAATGCTTATTGGTATGGTAGCACTGGGCATTTTATCAAGAAGCCACTTTTAGTAAAAATTATATTGTACTTCAATTTGGAAAAAACCTAACCATTCCAGCCTGTGAAGAAAAACTCTTCAAAGAGAATCATGTATAGCACAGTTTTTATATGACATATCTACTCATACACACATAAAAATATCTATATTATTTAGAGGGCATTTACTTTCACCAATTTTACTATTCAGTTTTTAGGTATTTTTAAGATATGAAATGAGACTGGAGTCCCAATTTATAACACTGAACCCACAAAAATTGGGAATTATTATGAAATACAAAGTCTGCCAAAAATATGTATAAACACTTCAGGAAAAAAAATAATACAATGTTTTTCAACAGATGGTGTTACCCTCATATGGGGGACCCTAGAGGATGCTGTATGTCACAGAAAACCCACCACACACTGCCAGCCATTAGAGAAGAAATTGAAAATGCATGTGCAGCAATCTCAGTGACCAAGGTTACCCAAGCAGCAGTTCACCGTACTAATACATGTCTGCAAACTAAAGTCCTCCACTCTGAGCATCTCTTGGAATTGTAGAGGCCAAAAGCAACCAGTATTAACCTCACTGTTTCAATAAATTTAGTATTAAAATACTTATACAAGTTTTTCTTTTCCTAAAGTACATACACATTTTTGAGGGTACAGACTCTGTATATGCTTGATCATTCCAGGAGAGGCAAAAGAAACTTATAATTAAACTGATAACCAGCGGCCAATGATGTCATCAATCATCCCTACACAGGAAAGCCTCCACGAAAACCCAAAAGGGCAAGGTTCAAAAAAGTTTTGGGCTAGCTGAGTATTCAAAGACTCCCAGAGGATAATGGCCCAAAGGGCAAGGAAGCTCCACAGCCCTTCCTATATGCCTTGCTGTCCATATACATCTCTTCCATCCAGCTGTGCATTTGTATCCTTTACAATATCCTTTATAATAAAACAGGAAAAGTTTTTCTCAGTTCTGTGAGTGGCTTTAGCACATTAACTGAGCCCAAGGAATGGCTCATGGGACCCCTGACTTATACCCAGTAGGTCAGCACACACCTGGGGCTTGACTAGCATCCGTGGGAGTGGGGTAGGTGATAGCTGTGCTCTCAACTATGGGTTATGATGCCACCTCCAGGTAAACAGTGTCAAATTTAAAATAAATTAGAGGATACCTAATTGGTGTGCCCAAACAATCTTCAGGATTGCTTGGTGGGAAGAAATCTCCACCAATTTTGGTGACTGGAAATCACAGAAGTATTCTGTGTTCTAAGGGTAGTGTAGAAAATACTGAGTTTGTTTCTACTTGTACCTTCAACATATAAATCAAAAATTATGCTTAGAACTACAGAATCATTTCTATGAAAAGTCAAGATACCTTCCTTCCCTGTTTCTTCATCTTTTTTCCCCCATTGAGTTCAGCTTCACCTCCTCCTCCCCTCCCCATTTACAAACATTTTATTTCCATTTTTTCATTTTCTCATATTTTTTTCTTTCCCTTATTACCTTTCCCCTACCCTTCCCATTTTCCCTATGCCTTTAGCTCTTTTCTTCCTGTTTCTTCATCTTAAAATAACTACCCTCCTTGGAACTACAGTCTACACCTCCATAACTGTACATGAGGTAGCAACTAAAATAAGAATTGGTTTAAGAAATTTACAATTTACTCATGTTTATTTTTTCACCTTAGAAGATTTGATAACCTTGAAAATAACCACTTTTCCTATTACTCATGGAATAAACAGTACAGCTCATTATGTAAACTATTCACAAGCCTACTTAGGGAAGCACAAGATTTCATTTAAAAGTACGTTATTCATATTATGATTATAGTTTATTAGAAATTTGAGCATGGGAAACAGATTTAAAGTCTACTCATGAAACTATCAAACAATTCAAATATGAGGAAATTAACCCTAATAAAGATAATAATATTACTTAAAGAAAATATATCAGAAAGCCAGTAATAAACACTGCTGTAAATGTTGGTAATGGGAAGTGGAAGGGAAAACTCCTTTGTCAGCATACAGAACATTTTTATTCTTGCTCCCAGGTAACCCAGCTCTACGTCATTCATTCAAACATTTTACTGAGCACCAGGGGAGTGAGGTGGGAAGAAGAAAATACCTATATTTAAGAAGTTCACAATCACTGGAACTGCAATATGAGCTTTGGAAAGTCCCCAGGCACTGTTTCCCCATGCCAAAAGTGAACAGTAACGTCTATCTCCATTTCTCACATGAAGCAAGAGTAAGAAGGAGAACTTGCTTCACATTTGAAGTACTTTTTTGTAATGATCAATCTAAACAAAATTTGTGTTTGACTACTTTATAAGACTGAAGCAGATACAACTGAATTAGAAGACTGTTTGAAAAACGAACCTTCCTGTCCCTGAAATCATAGTTTCCAACAGATCAAAAGTATTTCTCGGGCCGGGGATTTAGCTCAGTGGTTCCAGCGCTTGCTTTGCAAGCACAAGGACCTGAGTTAGATCCCCGGTACCAAAAAAAAAAAAAAAAAAAAAAGTATTTCTCAATTACTTCCAAATCTTAAAACTTCTAAAATATATTTATATGCTAGATCATAAAAACTTTCAGCCAAATGACCAATCTATATGTATTATAATATGAAAATAATCATTTATGTTACTGTTGATCTTAGTATTTAAAAATGTAATCATAAAACATAACATGCCGGTGTAATTTCAAAACGTCCTACCTAATTTTTCAAAAGTGAAAATGGAAAAAAGTGTCACAACCATAAATATATATCAACTGTAGCATTAGAATAATTTACATATTGATACAATGCTAATAGCCAAATTCTATTACAAACTAACGTCAATTTTCTAATCACAAAAGTTAAGTACATTATTTTATTTAGAAGTTGAAAAGAGTAAACATTTTAATGAATGAATAAACAGTTAATGAAAGTTTTGTAATCAAGAAATGTACAAAAACACACATTGTACCAAAAGTGATCAACTTACATTTTGAAAGCTCTATGACCTGCACTATAACTTATGAGTCTAAAGTCAGGAGACCTGGACTAATTCACCATTAGTGGGCTACTATTAACTGTTATTGAAAGGCTTTCACTAACTTATTGAATTACCTGAAGTAGTTAAACATTGCCTTATTACAGATTTGATGCCTCCTAAATAACACACTGAAATACAGAATTCACCATTCTTTTCTGGTAAACACACAACTCAGAAGAGATCCAAAAGACAATAATACCCCATTCACTAGTCCCATCATACACAATTTAAACTTTGCTATAAGTTTTTACGAACAATCTGTTTTACATAAACTAAAATGATACAGGTTCTCAACTGTACCAGCCTTCCTCAGAAATTATATCATGTACACCCTTTTTTTGTTTTTATTTTTGAGAGGGATGGGGATCGAACTTGGGAA